ATTTTAAATAATAATAATGATAAATAAAATTAAATAAATAATTATTTAAAGAAAGACTACTATTTTTTGAATCTGTAGTATATATTGAGACAAACTAAAAGTTCACACATGCCCACACTGGCCTTGCTAAGCTTGAGAAGCCTAGCAGTGGGGCGCTAGGGAAGACAGTCACTCCTGAACCTACGTTGCAGTCTTGCATCCACGTAGCAAGTTCATCATCGGCGATGTCCTTGTTGGCGGCGGCCTTCAGCAGCTCATTGGTTCGGTCCTCCTGCTGCTGCACTGCAGAGGCACACTGTTTGGAGTAGTCTTTGTATCTCTGCCACAGCTGCAGCAGGGCCTTGCTGGAGTGCAGCTGCTCAGCGATCTCTTCCAGTAAGTTATTCCATCTGGGAATAACGGCCAGACTCATGAGTATATTACCACTCCCCCAAATGCTATTATTCACTATTTTATTTTTCATGATCCTGGCTCATGTGAGTATGAAAATAATGTGCAGATGACTCATTCCATTGATCGCACTAAAAGATAACATTTCGGGTCAGGTGGTGTGGTGGTTAAGGTGGTTATGGCCGAGTAAAGGTTTGAGTCCTGGACCTGGAGGCTTAAAAAACACTCTTTGCGTGTAAGTTCAAAATCCTGAGAGGGGAGTGAAAGAGAATGGACTGCAGCATAGTCAGCCCACCTTGGGATGGTGCTGTCTCACTGTCCCTCTCTTTCTCTTCTTCTCTGGCTCTCTCTAGTGAGTGCATATGCCCTATAGAAAAGTTGCAAAAAACATCATAACATTCATATTTCAAGGATAGACAATGGGGATAAGGGCAAACTTTAGATACATAACAGTTCTAATTTCTTCTAAATATCTTCACTTTTATTTATCACCAATATCATTTGTGAAATTTGAAATATTAGTAGAATAGAATCTACAAAGTTCAAATTACACATGCCAAGAAGTTTTAATTAGATCTATATTTATAACATGACTGTGCTAGAAATAGCATGTAGAGTCGGCATACCCCATACCTCATATTGACTTCCTTCAGTGTATTGGTAAGAGTTTCTGTTACAGGTGGGTGACAATCTTTAAATAGTTTTTTTTTCCCCCAAACTTCTGTAGACTTCTTTCCCATTTTTCTAGATCATCTTGAAGACTCTGCTCAAATAAAAAGTTCCACAGAGATAAGACAGGCTCTAAATTATTAATAAGTTTAATAGTAATTTATAGATATTTTCAAAAATACATACAAAGAAACACATAAACCATGCATGGCTTTGTTCTTTCTTTAGATAACCTTTATTCTCTCTCTCTCTCTCTTTCTCTCTCCTGCTGTTGTTTTGGCTGTGTGAAGAGATTCTTAACAACTAAGCCTCATACACTGGCATCGGGGTTTCTGCTGGAAAAACTTGAAGAGGGTATCCTTGTCAGTGATCTAGCAAGAAGCCATGGAGGTGGCATATGCACCATCTGTCACATTCTCTTGGCCCCTCAAAGGCAAAACCCAGGTCTCTATTTTATTACACATCTAGAGTGGTTTTATCTCAAACTCCTAATAATTAAGACTCTTAAGAATTCGCAGCTTTTCTGAGTAATCTCTTTAAAGTTTTATCTCTGGGTATTTTTCCTTGCGAAGAATTATTTTTGTTTAATTTTAAAAATTTATTTTGTTTCTATATTAGGAACGTTAATTGTATATATTTATGGAGTATCATGTGATGTTTGGATCACATTTATGTTGTAGAATGATTAGCTAATTAACACATCATCACACATACATATCCATTTTTGTCTAAAAAGAGTCAAACTCACAGAAGTAGCAGAATGGCCATCATCAGAAATTTAGGATTGAGGGCAGACATAAAAAGGGGAGATATTGGGGCCAGCAAGTGGCATAGTGGTTAAAGACGTTGGACTCCCACATGGCTGACCATGGTTCAAGTCTCGACCTGGTGGCTTGCTTTCTCACTTCCTCTCTCTCTGTCTCTCTCTCTGATCAAACTGGAAAATAATAATGATAATAATAAATAAAGTTAAATAAAATAATTTTTTAAAAAGGGAAGATATTAATCAAAGGGTATATAACTTCAACTAGACAGGAGAAATAAGCTTTAGTGGTCTGCTGCCTAAAATAGTGACTGTGGCCATATATCATATAATGATAATGCACTATGTATTTCAAAATTCCTTAGAACAAAGCATATTTAGTAAATAGGCATGGTGGAATCTTCTACCAAGAACCAGTAAGGGAACAGGAAGAAGGCTATTTTCCTGGAAATATTGCTAAAGTGATAGAGATTCAGTTCTTAGTAAAACTCCATAGATGAGCTAGGTAGGCTACAAAAATCTAGGACTATTTAACACCAATATCCAATTGTCCTCCAATTGAAATATTCAAGGGAAAGACTCTTAATCTTTTGATAACTTCAGACAACTCAAGCAGTTATTAAACACAAAATAAGTTAAATTAAAAAGCACTTCTCGAGTTTATATAATGTGCTTTAAAATTTAGTATCCTATAAATCCGTTTGAATGACTCTTAGTACTTGTAACTATTATTTAAGGTTTAAAGAAATTTTACGAGGGGATTTCAAGAGTCCTCAGCAAAACAGAATAAACATGGAAGTTTATTTTGTTGCCCCAAAACAACAAAAAAAACCCGGCAATCCTTTCATAATTTTTTCACAATATGCATTTTTCCATGAACTTTCTGAGTACTCCCTGGTATAATATACACATTTCATTGTGCTCCTTCTTGCCCCATCCAACAAAGACACCCCCTTGGGACCAGCAGTTATTATAGTCCAGCAGCTATATTGCTGGACTCCCATGTGGTCAACTGCAGTTCAAGCTCTGGACCCAGTGGCTTAAATTCACCCCAGGTGCGTGTGTGTGCGTGCCCAAGGTCCCGAGAGGAGAATGGAGGAGAAGGGATTGCGGCGTGGCCATCCTCCCTTGGGGGGTGATTTCTTGCATTCTGTCTCTCTGTCTCTCTCTGTCTTTCTGGCAAGCACACGTGCCCTATAGCAAAAACCTCTACAAAAAAAAAAAAAAAAGAAGACACCCCCTTAAGGAAGCCCACATATGAGGCCGGCAACATGTCAACCCTGACCATCAAGCAGGGGATGAACTCAAGGTAAGCAGGACATGTGCCAAGCTTTGGCTGGTGTCCTGTTCCCGGAGAGCCTGCCCAGCCCATAATGCCTTAATTATTAGCCAAGAAAAAAGAGCAACAGCAGGTGAGAATGGTCCAGTGCCCAGATGAGCATGGGAGTGAGGGCGGCAACACACCGGAGGGCAGTGACCTGAGACAGGAGAGAGTGCTGTGGTTAGGTCACAGAGCAGCCATTTCATTGTACTGAATAGGTGGACACAATTAAAAGGGACCCACAGGAAACCAAGCAGGAAGTGATAGAAAAGGGGACTGTGTGAACACCGGGACAGGCCTCTGATGTGATTACACTGAATGAAAAGAAAACAACTTAATGGCTTCAATGTTTATCACATCTGCTATTTTTCTCTTTGTTTTCTTTTTAATCCCTTAGAATAGGTTTGGAGAAACAAGATTAAAAGAGAAAGGGAAGGCATAAAAAGCAATGGCAACAGAGCAGGAAGGTCGATATGGATAGAAAGTGATTCCGTATGATACCTGTACATGGATATTTATAGAAGAGGATTTAAAAAGCCACCTAATCCAGAATTCGGTATCCATAGGCAAGTTCGATTAAGTAGCAATAAACCAGGTAACATTAATAGTAAAGATTGCTAACATTATTAAATGTAAACAGTAATATTTGAAAGTGATATCTCCACTTGCTAATTTTGAACTTTTCTCAAATTAAAATAAAAAAAAAAAAAACAGAATTTGAGAGAATTGCTGCATTCATCCATTACCTGCAGGTTGTCTACTTGAACTTGCACAGCTTCTAAGGAGCCAGTCAGCAGTCGGAATCGGGAAAGAGAGTATCTGGCCTCCATCAGGTAACTGTTTATCTCATCAAAGGCCACTTTGTGGTTACTCCATTGATCCAGCACTGACTTCAGCAGTATCTTTAACTGCCCAACCTTTTGAAAAAGACACTCTTACAATGACCTAACACACAAAATGGTGAACTATGAAGGGACTTCAAGAAGTTCGTGGACAAATGGAATTAAAGTGTGAGTCTATTTTGATGCCAAAACAAATTTGAAATCCAAGCATGGTTTGTTCATAATACATATTTTCCGTAAGGACTTGGAAGACCCCCCCCCCTTTATATATATTCAACTGATAGAAAACATTGACATCTAAGAACATCAGGGTTTTAGGTAGTATAAACAAGCTAAACCTTAAAACAAATGAATGATGAAGTGTAGCAATTTTGAAACTTATGCCTTACAAATTTTTGAACACTCAGTCTAAAGGAAAATGCTTAGATAGTGATTGATAATATATGTATTCTAAAGTGATAAAAGATCAATATATTTAATAAAAGTTTAAGAAATATATTGTTTTAAATGCATTTGATTAAATTTAGTAATTTACTTCTCCTAACAACCTGATGATAGGTAGGCGTGATCATTATTCTCCTCTTACAGATAAGAAAACTGAGGCATGAGGCAGGTAATGAAAACTACCCAAGATGGGAATATGAGGAATCTTGATTTGAATCCAGTTAGCCTGGCCCTGGAAAACAAAATCTCTATCTATAGCTCATGTTCATGCTCACATACACTGAAATGAATAGCTAAAGACAAAACATTATAGACCATTCTTCCCCTATACTTATGACATCAGAAAGGTTTTCAGCTTAATCTGTGTCTCTTACAGAGAGATTTACATTGGCGCTCCCAGATAGCACCACTAATCTAAACATAAGCTTTTGAAAAGAGAGCACATAAATGAATCTGCTTTTGCATTTTCTGCTCTTCTCACTATAAAGGAAAATTTGTAGAAGTGAATTAAGATACATCTAATGGAGCAAGAAATGGAAAAAAAATATCACCTCTGATGTGAGGCAATGCCCACAATTACAGACAGGGACCATGGTCCATCCTCATAGAAAGCAAGAAACAGACTTGAAAGTAAGGAAAGCAGATCAGTGGGAAGTTTTACGTAGTCTATTTCTTCAATAGATTACTTTTGTTTACTTTTGTATGAGATGTTCCTATGAAACAATCAGTCTTTACTTACATGGTAAGCTATTTCCAACAATGGGATTTATACAAATGCATAAAGTAAAATAGACTAAAACGTTGGGTTGAAAATATGGTAAGTGTAGACTACTACTAGAAAGTCAACTCTGGAGAAGAATGCACAGCCTGCAGAAGCTGATTGTTCGGCCCCTGGTCCCAGTCCCTTGCTCTCTGTGCCTCAGTCACTGTGTTTGTCAAGTGTGATAGTCACTGCTTGTATCGGTATGTGTTAAAGGTAACTGTGATTTCACACAGCAAGGAGCAGTATTTGTTACCACACTTACTAATGGAGGATTCAACACTTCATTCAGCACATAGAGCCTACGTTTTAGTGAGATTAACACACACACAAGTAGACAATGTGATATGTTACAAGTTGATAAATAAAATGAGTAAGATACAAAGCAGACAAGAGTCAGGGAGTGAGAGGGGATATTAGGAGGCTGTCCTTTAAAGTAAGTGTTCAGGAAAGTGCTCCCTGAAATGGTGAATTTGACTTAGGATTTTGTGGAGCAAACATGAAGATACGGCAGAGAGTGTCCCAGATAGAGGGAGGAGTTAGTTCCAAAGGCCTGGGTGCAGGATAGGCCCACTGAGTTTAGGAGTAGGGGGAAATACTGTGGCAGAAGAAAAGGAGGCTTCAGAACAGCAGTAGGAGACCTGGTCAGAGAGAGTGGATCAATTTTCATTAGATCCCCTTGGCATTGAGACCATTCAGGTGGCCATTGAATAACCCAGGCAAGCAATAATGGTGACTTCACCCTGGGTACTAGCTTCCGAGGTGGGCATGGGAGACCCCGAGACCAAAGCAACAGGAAGGGTCAAGTCATGAACTGAGATGGCAGAATGTGTGGGTGTGTGGGGAAGATCAGAGCTGGTCTAGGATGCGAGCTTGGGATGGATTCTGCTCATGCAAGAGGAGGTATCTGCCATCTTGGATTTCTCTGTCTAGAATTCAGGAAAAAAATTCACAGGGAGGATAGATACCTGAGAATTATCTATGTTTAGATGGTATCTATTGCCAAGGAAATGGCTAAGATTATTAAGGACCATGTTTATACTAAGATCTATTCCAGAATACACCAGAAACGAGACTTTCTTTCTTCTTCTTCTTTTTTTTTTTTTTTTTTAAGAATAGGTTAGAGGTGGATTTACCAGCACAGAGAGATGATGTATGGATTTGATAATGACTTACTCAGTTACTTTATGGAGATCAAAACCCAGGGTCTGAGCATGCACTGGGAAACCACAAGCAATATTACCATATGAGCAGTATTACCATATGAGCAGTATTACCATATGAGCAGTATTATCATATGAACAGTATTACTATATGAGCAGTATTACCATATGAGCAGTATTACCATATTAACAGTATTGCCATATGAGCAGTATTACCATACGAGCAGTATTACCATGTGGTCTAAATTTGCCCAGGTGTGGCTGAGCTCCTGCAGTGTGCTCATGACGGGGCCTGTGACTTCTTCTTTCTTGTTCTGAATCAAAGCAAGTCCATTCTGTTCAATTTTCTCCACTTCTTTTTCTTTTGCTTTAATCAAATCTTCCAGATCCTGAAAATTTAAAAAATAGTCATTTTAAATTGTTCTATTATGGAACTCTAGGGTGCACTGAAATTGAGCTATTATAGTTTCATGTCCTAAAAACCTTTTACTAATCTAAAAAGCTCATTCTCAGATGAGTATCTCTGAGCAATACTTCTTCCTACATGAAAATGAAAAAAAAAAAAAAGATAAAGAAAGAAGGAAAAAAGTCTTCTTATCCATGGAAAATTAGCGTAACTTAAAAAAAGTAAAATTTGATTATCTACGGATAAGGAAATGACACTAATTTTTTTCAAGAAGCTACGACGAAAGAAATGCATGTCAGTAATGGTAGTCTGATTTATAGCCATAAATTCATGTATTCATATGTTGGTGTAGAAAAGTTACACAGCCTAGCTCATAGAAAGAAATGTGGTAGAATGGTACTCCCGATCACAGTGTCAGATTTAGTCAAATTTCTGCTTCTAAGGCTGCATCACTTTAAGTGAGTGAGAAATTTTCCCCAGCTATGTTTCGTTAGATGGAAAATCAGAAGATTGGGGAAGATCATCTCTATTATCCCTTCTTTCCCTCAAAAATACCGTGATTCTATGTGATTCTGAACGGTTATAGGCATTTTTCATGAATCAAATCTTCATTTTCTTTAGAATTTGCATGTATGGCTATCAATATAGAATGTTCAAGAAAGAAAAATAAAATGAGGGAAGATCTAGAGCTGACCACGGTTCAAGTCCTGGAACTAGCAGCTCAAAACTCACATTGGGCATGTGTGAGTGCAAGTGTGCCCAAAATTCCTGAAGGAGAGTGGTGAAGGGAGTGTGACCATCCCCTCTGGGGGATGATTTCTCACTTTCTCTGTCTCTGTCTCTGTCTCTCTCTCTGTGTTTTTCCGGTGAGCTCATATGCCCTATGACAAAAAAACAAAACAAAACAAAAAATTGTAGACCCATAGATCCTGGAAGTTAGAAAACAGAAAACTCTAAAATATTTTGAGATCTCACCCCTTCTTAGGACCCACGTGTGGGTAATACTACTGGGATTAGGTAATCCTGTTGACATGGTGTGGAAAGGAGGCAGTCTGCTATGGTAATTACCGATTTTTGTCCATAAAATTATTTTACTTCTTTTATTTTTGTTTCTGTTGTGCTTCAACCTTTTATTCTCTCTGTACTTCATTTATAAAATATGGATAATAATACATTTCCTGCTTGCTCCACAGAAAAAAATTAGATAAGTACATATGAAATATCTTTTAAACTGTCAAAACTAATCAAATGCAAGGTAGTATTATTTTCAGCCATTTGGTAATCTGCTATGCTTAGTGCAATCTATTTATTTTTTCTCTTCTGAATTATCATGAAGCTATATTTGGCTTCACGAATAATTGGAAATTCATGCATTTGGTAGCTTAAAGAGATCATTTTTTCCCATTGTTCTCTCATTTCCACTTTATAGATCTTGTCAATATTTTGACAGTTTCGATAATCACTAGAGAATGAACATAGTAATTACTGGGGCTACAGATCCTTTAGGCAATACTGAAAACAATTGACTCTACTATTTAAGGCCTTCTCTATTTCTCCGTTATGTTAACTTTTTCCAGTGAACATTACTAAAAGAATGACACATTGCTTAGAAACACATCTCAAAAATGCCAGATCCAGCTGTGGTGGCATACAGATAGCTAGGGAGGCTGAAACCTTCACGGGAAGCTCGAGTGTGATTCCTGGGCCAACCTGAATGTGACGAGTGAGTGTGGATGCACGAGCCTTTAACCCTGGGTAACTGGGAGGCTGGGTCAGGAGGATCATGACATGAGACTCAGTCAAAATGACCTGTCTCTGACTCCGTCTCTCTTTTTGCGCTTCAACTCTCTCTCTTTCTTCCCTCCTCTCTCTTATAAAAGTCCTCCTCACCGTATGGATAAAAGAGCAATGGGCCAGCAGATAGCATGGTGGTTACATTGGCAGATTCCCACATGGCCGGCCGCAGTTACAGCCCCAGACCCAGAGGCTTGAAAATCATATGGGGAACATGTGCATGCACAAGTTCCCAGGACGAGAATGGAGGAGAAATGATTGCTTCATGGCCGTCTTTCCTGGGGGGTGATTTCCTACTTTCCCTCTTACTATTTCTGTCTCTGTCTCTCTCTCTCTGGGGAGCACATATGCTCTTAAGAAAAAAAATAAAATAAAGCAATGCCCAGGAGGGAAACAGAATTGAAAAAATATATTTTGTTCAAAACAGAGATGTGTTTTCCTTTCCTTTCAATAGTAATTAAAAGATAATTCTGTTTCTGATTAATAAAGGGCAAATGTAACGTTGTTATAATTAATCATTCTTAGGTTAATTCATAAATATCCGTTCTTACATTGATTTAAATTAATAAATCACCTCTAAAAAACTGGGAAAAAATTCAATATTTTTAAAACAAAGCTTGAATCCAGTCAATGATTTAAGTGTGCTGGTTTAAATTTCACTCTTTGGTCCAAAGGAATAATTTCTCAAAAATGACAATAAATTTTATCAAGGTTTTTAGCATTGCCAAATAGAACGAGTCAGTTAGACTATTGTGATTTATATGTGATGTCTCAAAATAACTGTGTGGTCTACTTCCATTCTGTTTTTTGTTTCAAAAAAGTACTTTACACTTGAAATCACAACTTGGCTTTGGTGTAGAGTTTTTTAAACAATACTTTAAACTTTCCCTTATGATACTGCCTGACCTGACCCTTAGTGACCCTTAGTGAGACTAAAACTTGGTGCCTAAAAGTAGGAAAACTTGGCCAAACTTTCACTATATTTTCCAGATAAAAATGTGTCGCTTTGATAAACAGAAAAAGTGCACAGGAAAAGAAACAAATGGAAAATGGCAGAAAAAACATCACATCTCAGAGAAGAAAAATATAGAAAAAAATTTTTAAAAAAGAACGGAAAAGACAAACAAGGAAAAGGAACATTATATGAATGTACTATTGAGTACAGTTTATTATAGTAAAGTTTATCACAGAGCAACAAGGAAGTACTAGTCTTGCTAATGCAAACACTTGGAATTATCTTTTTAAATTAATAAAAACATTTTGAGCCAGCAGATTGTGTGGAGGCTAAGGTGCTGGATCCTATGTAGCCCCCGGCATGGTTCAAGTCCTGGACCTGGAGGCTTGAAAATCAGGCTGTGTATGTGTGCGTATGCCCAAAATCCCAAGAGAATGAAGAAGGGACTGTGGTGTGGCCATTCCCCCTGGAGGGTGATTTTTCTCTCTCTCTCTTTCTCTCTCTCTCTAGCAAGTGCATGTGCTCTACAGCAAAGTATGAAAAAAATTAATAAAAGTATTTTAACTTAGAAACGCAACCAAAGGCATGACATCTTACTCTTAAGAGAAAAATTGTGAAACTCTGGCTCATTTGCAGATTTCAGAATTCATGGCCTAAATTAGAGTCCTACTGGTCCCTAGAACATGGGAAATGCAATGGGAGAGATGACACATGTATTTGATTTTTGGTCTTGTACACGCCCATCTTCTAATGTGAAGCATTTTCCAAAATTAGTATGATTTTAAAACAATTCGTTACATGATGTTTTTCTTTGTCATTTTCGTGCAGTCTCAAAATTGCAACCTGGGGCATTTGGGCACTATGAGCACCCTCTCTTCCTTTTCTGAACCGAGAAGCTTAAATAACATCTCTTTTTACATGTGTCCCAAACAGAAAAATGCCAGTGGGAAGGGAGATCTTTACCAAAGTTTCCTTTCTGAGATTTGAAATAGAAAAACAAGTTGTGGGGAAAAGAGCTTTTCTGCAGAATTACTTCCCAGTCTTCTACTGTTCTTAGGAAATACCCAAAGAGTGTAGTTACAGCTAATCTGTGACACAGTACAAATTAGTAAGTTATTTAAAAACAACAAGAAGTTTCTTTAGTATGAACAAGAATATTTGAAAAAAAAAAAAAAACCAAAAACAAAAAGATTGTGTGTTCCTAAATCACTGAAAAGCATTTAGAATCCAACCACTCCACTTACACCCTCAAACCTCGTCACTAACAGTTGAACAAAACAGACTGTGTACAGCTTCCCCATGTGACAAAATAGGAAGGAACACAAGTCAGACCCTATTCAAACAGGAATCCAGTCACTAGCACTAACTTGCATTTAAGTAAACACAGAGGAAAGAAAAGCAAGTTAAATGACATCTTTAGGAAGTACACTGGCCAATCCTAAAAACATGGAGCCAGGCTACAGTTTCTGTGACAGTTAAAAATATTAATATTAGAATGAAAGAGACTTAGAGGCCAGCAGGTGACATAGTGGCTAATGTGCTAGACTCCCACATGGTCATCTAAGGTTTGAGTCCTGGGCCTGGTGGCTTGCTTTCTCCCTTACCCTTTCTCTCTCTCTGGCCAAATTAAAGATAATGATAATAAATAAATAAATCTTAAAAAAAAAAAGAATTAAAGAGACTTAAAAGACCTAACAAGTGGGGCCAACAGATGGCATAATGGTTACATTGCTATACTCCGATGTAGTCACCAAAGTCTGAGTCCTGGACTCAGAAGGTTAAAGCTCACACAGGACGCCTGTGGATGTGTGCCCAAGATCGTAAGAGGAGAATGGAAGAGAAGGGATTGCAGTGTGGCCATCCCCCTGGGGAGTGATTTCTCGCTTTCTGTCTCTCTGTCCCGCAAGCACATGCGCTCTATAGCAAAAATCTCAAAAACAAAAAGATCTAACAAGCACTGTAGCATGTGGACACTATTCATTTCCACAATTAAATAAAATGGAAAAGAAAAGATTTTTAAAGACAATTCAGAGAACAGAATTATGGGTTGAGCATGGAATATTAGATTGTCAGAAAAATCATGATGCATTTTTGCATTACAAAATAAAACACAGAAAAACACATCATGACTTTTCCAACTACCAAATAATATATAGGAAATACTGCCAATTTTTGTGGTGGTAATTTGGCCACATAGGAAAATTTCCATTTTTCAGAGATGTGTATTGTATAAAATGATATTCTATCTTAGGTTTACTATAAAGTTCTTAAGAAAAGAAGAATTTAGGTAAATGTGTCAAAATCCTGATAATTATTACATCTAGTGATAAATATATAGGGTTCTTTTCTCTGTACTTAGGAGCATGTTTAAAATTTCGCATAATTTCCAGTTTGTAACAGTTGAAAAATCTGAGTTATTAAAAACCTCTATAAGCTCATTAGAGAAATTTGTACCAAATGCCGCCTTTTTGTTGTTGTTTATTGTTGGACATGTATGTTTGCCAGAGAGACAGAAAGAGAGAGAGAGAGGGATTGAAGGAAAGTAAGAAATCTCAGCCTGAGTGGATGGCCACACTGCAATTCCTTCTCCAATCCCCACTCAGGATCTTGGACACACATACGCCCAGTGTAATTTTCAAGCTACTGGGTCCAGGACTGAAACCACACAGTTGGCCATGTGGGATTCAGACACCTTAACCTCCATGCCACCTGCTGGCCCACCAAATGCCAGTTTTCAAAAAGGATGGAACTGGAAAGTCTTGGAGCCTACAAACTCCTTCAGCATATGCCACGAAATTGCACAGCTGTGCACCTGGGTGCCTGGACAAGTTACCTGACAGTCTTTTAATGCATTCTGAACAGAAGCTTGATCCCCAATTTGATGCTGTTGTTTCAGTCTCGTCTCCTGGGTTTCAAACCACGTTTTCAGACACTGTACATTATTTTCATATTCTGACCAAGATTCCAATAAGCCTTCCAACAGCTGGATCTGAACAAACATAATAAAATAAAATTTGCAATTTCATTTTAAAATCAAATCATTGGCAAGCTAATCATTCTAGCCATGATTTTTTCCAAATTAGAGAATCCTTAAAATTCAGTCCATTGTATATATGATTTTAAAAATGAAGTTTATAAAGTATGAATCCATGCTTGTTACTGGTAAGGGAAAAATGACTAAAGTCAACTTGAACCAAAAGAAATTAAGAGGCATCTTTTAAAAAAACTGAAATAACATGAAATATACAGAGCGGAAGATGCATAAGAGAAAACGGTGAACAGGGCTGAAGGAAGCCTACAGCAACGCAACCTTCGGAGGCATCGTTGGCAGCGTTCAAACATGCAAGGTAGCTGTACTCCTCGTGAAATGAGTTTTCCTTACCAAGAGTGTCTGTTTGGGGTTCCCCTGTAAGTAAGGACCACAGCAGCCTCCTGGCTTACCTTCTCACTTACTAGACCTTGAAGGATTTGCCAGCTTTTATTCATTGCTCCAAGCTGCTCAGCAAAATCAGTCTTGTCACTGCGTTTGCTTTCTACATCCTGACTACTGATCTGCAGCACAGACTGGTTCACGAAATCAACTGTCAGCTGTTTACAATTAATGTCTATCTTAAAACCCTAAAAAAAAAAAAAAGAGAGAGAGAAAGTAAGAAACAAGATTATACACATAAATGTCTTATTTTACTAGGAGTTGGAAAGCTTTAAGTAATTTTTTGAAGGATTATTTCATTTTATTTATTACTATTATTTATTTTTTAATTTGCTATAGGGCACTTGTGCTCACTAGAAAGAGAGAGGGAAAGTGAGAGAGGAAGCTATCGGGTTCAGGACTCTAGCTGCGGTTGGCCACGTGGGAGTGCAGTACCGTAACTACCACATCACCTGCTGGCCCCAGCCTTAAGTAATCTCAATATTCTCACTGCCATGACTTCACCCAAAAGACTTAATTTGTGTGTATTCATATGACCCATCACCCATTATTTTCAGAAGCTGATTATGCATTTGCATTGGCTTATAGAAACATATACACACTAATTTTATATATTTATATATATGTAGATAGATTAGTTAGATAGAATTTAAGTAGGAGGTAGAACTAGATAAATTCTAAAATTTCACTATAAAATTTTTATAAATTATAGTATTTATTTTTAGGAATTCTATGATTTTCTTAAATGACACAACATGGTTCAAAATTATTCCCAGTACTGGACAACTTTCCAATGCATATCACCAGGGATGTAGTTTTCTTGCTCTTGAATTGCTGTCTGGCCATTGTGTCCATACATAGATCTCAAGACCTGATTTACTTTAAAATACAAATTATTTTTAAATTAATTGATTTTTATGTGGACCAAGACCTGATTTTTCATAATTCATTTTGAGCTCTTTCAAATACAGTAGTATAAAAGTATGAAAAATTGAAACCAAAAATTAACTACCTTATATTTCTGAAGGTACTCATGAACAGCCTTGTAGCCTATGGCATTTTTTATATCTTCTTCATCCTTCTGAATAACAGTTTCCATTAGAGAAATCCAACTCATGAGTTCAGAAATGGCATGGCGGGAAGGTAGCTGATCCATTTGGAGCTGATCAAGTTAGAGATAGAGTAAGTCCAAAAATGTTAAAATTTAAACCCAAATTCTGCTAGTTTAAAAGCCCTACATTATCCCTCGATGATACTGTATATAGTATTCCCAACCAGACCGGTGAGAAATGTATTCATGTTGGGAAATTCACTTTACTGGCTAAGTGATGTATAGTGACCAAATTATAAAGGAAATGAAAATCAAATAAAATATATTAAATTGAAAAAACCCTACATTAATTCTTATTCATGTCCCACAGAGATAACACTGCCTAATGACAGTTTTAGATCTTAACCCCATTAGAAGCTTGAAATTAAACATGAGGCAAACACTGAATAATAACAGTCATTTTGTGCTCACTTGACATCCGATACTATCAACATTGTATAAACATTAACTAATTAATCAAAACACCAGCAAGGAGAAAATATTATTCTTATTTTATAGCTAGTTTTATGAGGTTTAAAAAAACTTAACTACAAAACACTCAACAGATGTATTTCATTAATTATCTTGTAAAATCTCTGTGTATTATGACTCAGGAATGTGAATAGAAGAAAGAAAAAATACCACTCCATGAGCTATCATTTTCTAGATTTTTTTGGCACTCTAATATTTCTTCCTAAAAGCCTAGCCAATTTCCTTAGGCTTCAACTAAAATATACTTAGAATTCAGAAGCTTACTTAACATATCACACATTCAGGCATATGGCTTAGGAAAAACAAAGCTATCGTTTAAAATCCTGGGTCATCAGGATAGTCATGACACATTTTTGCATAGAAAAACAGAAAAATACATCATGGCTTTCCTGATGACCTAATATTTATTGATCAATTTCTATATGCTGCTCAAAGATGTAGAGATGGATGTGAGATGCTGCCCGCTCTCTAGAATTGCGGGTTAGGAGAGAGAAGGCACATGTATTAAATACATCATCATACCTGCTACACAGTGACAAATGTCAAAGAGATCTAATGAGAAATGTTCTGAGATTTCCAGAGAGACAGGCATATTTGCAGGTAAGAGAAGTACTTAGATTATTGAACGTCAATTGCTTTTTTTGATAGACACGTCACATGTCTTATTAATATAAAGCTTCCTAACTGCTCACCTTATGAAGTTTTGATAGATGTAACTGCTCACATTTCCCCCATGAGACAACGGAGTTTAAAGGCCAGGAAAAGATTCAATACACACACTAAAAAGGCTCTTGGAAGAAAGGCCATCTAAGTGGACTCTGCAGAGCAGTTACTTTTACTACGCAATAAAATGGGAGAGAGAAAAGGCAAGCCGTGCAAGACGAAGCTGATTTAAATTCATGAGCAAAAGCAGATTGACCTATGTTTCCACCTAATGTAGGTTAAATCAGCTACTGCCAGCTATACCCTCATCTTTACCTGGTGGAGCTTTTCCTGGACAGCTGGAATGTTGGTCAGCAGGTCCGTCCACTGGCTGTCAATGTGCGACAGCTCTGAGCGCAGGGCTGCGGTGTCCACCTTCTTTAAGCGGAGAAGCTGGTTCCCAGTGCTCAGAACAGATGATTTCAGGGAAGATGTGGCATCCACCTCTTTAGAAAACTCCTAAAGAAGTCACAACATTCAAATTGGAAGTCAATAGCCAGATCTTTCATTTAAGGAAAGAGATCAATTTAGCGCATCAAACAACTTCGACACATTGGAGAGGTGGGATGGGGGGTTATATTGAAGATTCTAAAGGAAAACAATGAGAGCCAGTGACAAAGCCATTACTGAGAACTGCTTTAAAGAGGACAAGTGAATTCACTGACCACTATTATTTTACATAATTATCGAACACACACAGTTCCGATTGATAAATTCTCCGTAGATTACTTAGAATATCCGCTGGCATCTCTTCTTTTTGCTGGAGTGTGAGTCAGGCCTTACTTACAGGCCTGAAAGCAGTACCATCAGATCAGATGCCCTAGATCCCTAGACTTACCAGGAAAGCATTTAGATGGTCACGGACCATTTCCAGTTCTTGTGGGACGGTTACAGATTGCTGAGTCCAAAATTCTAGCTTGTCTTGTGCAGACTGTAACCAGCGAAGTAAATCTGCAGATTCACTTTGATATCTGTAAGTATATTAATGAGTCCATTAAGTAAACGTTAATTCCCTACCTTCTGTACACTCACGTTATTTATTGCTGCCAACAGTTTCAAAACAAAAGACATGACAGATTTAGAAGAAAAACACACTAAGCTGACCCTCTGAAACTTTCTTTTCTTAATATTTATACCTTGAATAATCTGTATCTTGGGGTTCAGCTTTCCCATCTCTAAGCTGAAAATAAAAATATTCTACTCTCACACTGATGCTACTAAGAAAATATGAAATAATGGTGGACCAGCAAGTGGTATGGAGCTTAAGGCAGCTGGATCCCACGGGGCCAACTGCATGGTTCAAATCCCAGACTCTGAGGCTTGAAAAATACACCAGGCATGTGTGCATTCATGCCCAAAATCCCGAGAGAAGAATGAAGAAGGAACTGCGGTGTGACCACCCCCTCCCAGAGGGTGATTCCTCACTTCCCTCCTCTCTCTGTCTCTCTTCAGCAAGCACATGGGCCCGATAACAAACTTTAAAAAGAAATAAAGAAAACATTAGATAGCAGTTATGCAAAGTTCTTTCAAATAAAGGTGTCATAGAAAGGTTGTTTCCCCACATGAAAACCAACTCTCGACCTTCTTTGAACACTTCCCACTGCCTTGAGAAGCTTCCCCTCTGAATCCACATTTGCTCCTCTTTCTCTCCTGAGGATTTCCTGTGACCACCCAGATACTGTCAACAGGCAAGGGATAAGGACAGTTGGAAAGTAAGCGGCATTGCAACCTGCTCCCTGCCTCCTTTTCCCTGCTTATACCACTAGACAGGACTCCAGCTGGGGCTTTCTGTTTGTCTCTATTTTTCAAGCTATACAGTAAGTTTTTAGAGAGACCATATCTTCTTCAAGCCTTGTACCCGCTAGCCTTATTCAGACACCACAGCCCGCATCTGAAAGAAAGCAGAAGCGCCGTCATGCTACCTGGTCCAGTGTTTCAGTATGGTCTCCAGCCTGTGCAGTTCCTTGGACACTTTGTTGGTGTTACTCAGCCAGTGCTCTCCAAGTTGGTTAAGCTGGCCTTCTAGATCGGAGCAGCTAATGGATATCAGAAGACGTTTCCCATCATCTAGTACCTGATACAATTTGGGCTGGTATTCATTAAGGCTGGATTTTAAATGCTAAAAAGATAGAAAACTTCATGTTAAAAGTTCAGACAGTGCAATTTTTATCATTAAGAATTAGAATTTCTGGGACCAGCAGATGGTATAATGATGATGTTGCTGGACTTCCAATGTAGTCAACCATGGTTTGAGTCTCAGATCCAGCGAGTTAAAACTCACACTGGGCACGTGTGCATGCATACCCAAGATCCCAAGAGGAGAATGGAGAAGGGATTGTGGCATGGCCCTCACCCCACCCCAAGGGTGATTTCTCACTCTCTGTCTCTCCAACCAGTGCACACACCCTATAGCAAAAATCTCCTTTAAAGAAAAAAAGAATGATAATTTCTTTAGTAACCAAAATGTCCTCATTATCCATTAGTTAAACTTAAACTATATGTGTCCATGTAACACTGGAACTTGGAGATGTTTCATCTATTTCTAAGGATAGTTCCCCCCACTCTTCTGCATTCTTAGTAGTAATTTAGTTGCATTTAGAACTGTCAAACTAAGTATTTCAGTGATTGTCTGATACCAGCATCAATGTAGATGCTACATTATTAAAAAAGATATCTTTCAGGACCAGCAGTTAGCGTAATGGCTATGTCGCTGGACTCCCATGTAGTAGACCGCGGTTTGCGTCCTGGACCTGGTGGCTTAAAACTCAAGCTGGGTGCTTGTGCGTGCGTGCCCAAGATCCCGAGAGGAGAAGAGATTGTGGCGTGGTCATGCCCTCGGAGGGTGATTTCTCACTTTCTCTCTGTCTCTCTCTGTCTGGCGAGCACATGTGCCCTATAGCAAAATCTTCTCTGAAAAAAAAAAAAAGAGATTTTTCAAAAGAAGAAAGAGAAGGAGAAAAAAAGAAGTCTTTTTAAAGCTCAACTACAAATCTATAAATAACACAGTATGTTAACATTTGCTTTCAACAATGTAATAACTTTAAATAAAAATAATTAACAAAAAGATCTAATCACGGTTATTTTGATTTTGTTAAAACTACTGGGAAGTGTCAAAGGAAACGTGACCGGAACCACCAAGACCCCCACGGACACTGACCTGGTAGAGAGCTATGCGGTCCATGAGCCTGTCCTCGCTCTCCTCCACCAGTCCCACGCTTGGAATGCTGCTCGCCACCACCTCTAGCTGCCGGCCGAGAGCCCGCTGGTCCTCATCCAGATGAGACCACGTCTGGAAAGACAATGCTACTCTGTGAGCTGGAAAATCCTCCTTAGGAAGTGACATCCTTCTTGTCAAGTGCAAACTGCGTGATTGACAGACTCTTCAGAGTTACGTTGAGGGTATTTGTGTTGGGGTTTGCTTTGGGAAGCGAAAGATGGTTTCGAACCATGTAATCAGATGGTGGCCCTCTAAAGCACTGTGAATGGGCTTTGGCATCTGCCAGTAACTAGCTGCATGACGTTGGGTGAGTTACTACATGTCACTGAACTTCACTTTTCACATAGGAAAATGGGGATGTTAATGACTATCTTCTCTTTCAGCAGAATTAAGCAGAATAGTGTGTGCAGTGGTCCTGGTACCTAGTGTGCACAGTTTCAATATTTACCACAGTTAAGGATTTGAGTAAAAGGGATGGCCATGTTTGCTGTTCACATGTTACAGGAACCAGAATCTGTAAGTAAAACTTACACAGGGCCAAGCCCACAGCCTGGTAGTTAAAGGAGCCAGATCCCTTATGTACAACCACTTGGCTTGAATCTGGACCCAGAGGCTTGAAAAACATCCCAGGCCATGTGTGTGTGCAGAATTCCGGCAGGTGGAGAAATAGAGAAGGAACTGCAGCATGACCAAACCCATGGTAGGGGGGGG